AACAGAAATCATCTTTCAGGAACTCTCCCATCTTTTAATCAGGAATTCATCTACTTAGCTGATCCTCACTCACCCATTCCTATCTTCCTTCCTACTACCCTTGATGAAAAGCCCTTACTCTTAACTAAGACCAGGACTCACTTGTACTTTGGACCTATCTTATCTTCTAAAGGATTTTGATTCTGTGAGTGTCCCTGTATTTAGGGCATTAGTTTGTAATCCCTACAGGATTATTTCCATCAGCACATAAATAAGCTATACTATCATTTGTCTGAGGGGGAAAAAACTCCAGTTTCTTCTTCATTTTCTAGTTCCCATTCATAGCAAAAGTTCTTATTAGAATTGTCTATTCAGCATTGTCTTTTCTTTCTTACATTTTCTGCAAAGCCCACTTCAATCAGACTTTCTTCCTCAATACTTTACCCCTATTTTCAAGGTCACTAATGACTTTTTAGTTGCTAAATCCAGTGGTTATTTCTATGCTTTAATTTTATTTAACCTTCCCCTGGGATGTGTCCCACATCTTCCTTAAAATATTTTTTGTTTCTTTTTCTTTTCCCTTGTATTATGTTACACTATATGTCTTGGAAATCCTGACACATAGATTTTTGTAATTTGTTAAGACAGTTCTCTCAGAAGAAACCTGCCCGGGAGTGAGGGAACCTGGACAGGGCAGGGAAGGAATCTGGGTAAAGAGGTGGTTCCAGGAAAAATGTAGTTTCAGCCCAGTCCCTCCAGAGCTCTGGAAATGCCTTGCAGCACAGAGGCAAAGGGGTTGGGCAGTTATGTCCTGGCATCCGTCGTGGTCTAGGGGCTGTCTGGGAGGATGGAGCAGAGGCACGACCTTCCAGGTAAAGCCTGGAATTCCTTGCAGTTAAAGAAAATTATTCTGAGAAGGGTGCAGGAGAAAGTCCTCACAGGAAAAATGGTAGCTGAGGATGGAGCACTCCTCAGCTGTGGGATGTGGTGTCTCAGATGCTTTAAGTGGCCTATCTTTTCCTTCTACTACAGCCACTCCTCAGTTGCTTCCTCTGTTGGGCTCACGTTCTCATATGTTACAATCCCAAATTATGCCTTTTACTTACTGAAAGCTCACAAATTTATCCTGGGGCCCTGATTACTCCAGAGACCACTAGAATTGCATTTACAACTCCTACTATTTTCATTTGAAGATCTAAAGGGCATCTTAATTTTAACATGGATAAAACAAAACTTGATTCCTTGTCCCTCCTCCAAACCTATCGTTGTCCCGGTTTCCCCATTTCAGATGCTTAAGTTCCAAAGTTAGGTGTTATTCATGATTCTTCTATTTCTCTTACATCTTACAACCTTCTGGCTCTTCATGCAAAGCATATCCCAAACCCATCCAACTCTCTCCAGGTCCGCCACCCGCTTCCTAGCTTAAGCCGTTGCCTCTTGCCTGTACCATTGCAGTATTCCCTCCTTAACCTCTTTGTGTTTCACTTCTTGCTGCCCCTGAAGATTCTGCTGTACGGATGCCAGAATGATCCTGTTAAAACATATGTCAAGTAATGTTACATATATGCTTAAAACCCTGCCATCATTTCTCGCTGATCTTAGAGTAACATCTCAACTCCTTACTCCAGTTTATGAAACCATATGTAATCTGGCCCAAGTATACCTTTCCAACCTCTTTTTTGCTGAGTGTTCCTCTGCTTACAGTGCTCAGCCATAACAGCTGCATCTCCTGGCCTCTTCAACCTCACCAAGAATGTGCTTGCTTTGGAGTCTTTATTTTGACTGTTTCTTCTTCTTTATTGTCACTCAGATCTCAGCCTATATATCAACTTCTAAGACAGGTTTCCCTGATCAACAAATCACATTCTTCTCACTCTTTAAATTGTCTCTAGAACACTTAATGCTGTCTGTTATTTTTATATTAATTTCTTTAGCCATTTATTCATTGGATCATTGCTTTCTTACTGTGTAAATGCCTTAAGGACAAAGATGTTACATGTCTTATGCATACAATGAATATTTTTAAATAAGTGAATAAATGAATGGTGACCCACCTGCTTTAAGAGATATGTATCTACTTAGAAGATGTACAGTTTAGACTGCATTTTTAAAACAATTCGTTTATGGGTATATTTCTAAGCATCAAAAAACCCACACACAAAAAAACCCAAAAACTAAACCAAAACTAAAACACACCCTTCTTTACGGTCAAGATTGATTATAATCTGTGATTTCCCCTTGACATACCATGAATGAAATCTAGTTATTATGTACCTTCATGATCTGGGCCAGACTCTTATATTCTGTAAAACAGTGACAAAAAATGTATCTAACTCATACATAAGAACTTACCACGTAACATGCAAAATGAGCACTGAACAGTATGTGCCCTTAGCAATATACAGAAAAATTACAAGCTGTTTCTTGTTTATTTTAAAAATGTATGTTACCATCTCTTTTTTTTGGGTGATTATTCACCATGAGTCTCACACTTCTGCACATCCTATAAACAGAGAAACTGGCTGGCTTTGTTTTGGATTAATTTTTCCAGTATAATTACGTAGCAGATAGCCTTGGAAATTACAAATAGTGTCTCCCTCTGGAGCAAAGGGCAAGGCATGGTTACTGCCCATCATAAAAGATTCAGGGTTCCTAAACTCATTGTTCCTGTTCAGTAACACAGCCTACTTCACGTCCAGGGTATCTCTTGCATTTCTTGCATCTCCAGTGCAAAAATAGTAATACTCTGGACACTTCTATTTGTCTAAGTAATAAACTGTCCCTTGTACCTTTCCCAGAGGTCCCATGTTTTCCACCAGCATTCATGAAACTGTGGCAGGTTCACTTGTTTTAGCTTGTAAACTGGGTAAAATCTTTGACCTTTCACAAGCCTGACACACTCTTTCTCGCCAGTCCTCATGGAGCTTTTGTTGGACTCTCAGCACTGCTAGACTGCTGCACATGTTTCACCAAATTTTGGCAAAAGAATGAAATCTACCTCAATTTTGGAAAAGAGATTATAAATAGTCACTTTGATAGGGAAATAATGAACTCCCAAAGATGCCCACACCTAATCCCCAGATCCTCTGAATGTGTTAGATTATATGACAAAGGGGAATTAAGGGTGCAGCTAGAAGTAAGGTGGATAGTCAGCTGACCTGAAGATTGAGAGGTTACCCTAGAGTATACAGGTGGACCCAGCGTCATTGAACCCTTGAACACAAGGGTTTTTAAATATGGAAGAGTCAGCATTAGTGTGATGTGATTTGAAAAAGACTCAACCAGCCACTGTTGGCTTTAAAAGTGAAAGGGAGCTACAAGCCAAGAAATGGAGGCTGACTCTGAGAGTTAGGAAAGGCAAGCAAATAGATCATCCCCTGGAGTTTCCAGAAAGGAATGCAGCTCTACCAACAGCTTGATTTTAGTCAGTGAAACTGTTTCTGATTTCTGATTTCCAAAAATATAAGATGAATTTGTGTTGTTCTAAGCCACAAAGTTTGTGGTAATTTTTTATAGCAGTTATAGGAAACTAATAAAGTTACAGACTGGATAAAGTTGCTACATGAATGTATTTTAACTTCACATTTACAATAGAAGAAGGCCTCCAATATGGTAGTAGATGTATTATACTTTTATAAATTAGGATAATGGTAATTCTCAGATGAAAGCACATATGCAAGTGAAATCTTTACCATGAATTCTTAGGATAAGGAATTCTATCGTAAGCATATAAATGTATATTTCTTTGTATTAATTTAAAACATTGTCTTACATCCATAACAAGTAATAGGTGACATTTAAATATAAATTGTGAATGGCTTAAATTTTCTTCTTAATTTTTTTTTTGAGATGGAATTTTGCTCTTGCCCCCGCTAGAGTGCAATGGCGCGATCTCAGCTCACCGCAACCTCCTGGATTCAAGCGACTCTTCCTGCCTCAGCCTCCTGAGTAGCTGGGATTACAGGCATGTTTCACCATGCCTAGCTAATTTTGTATTTAGAGAGATGGGGTTTCTCCACGTTGGTCAGGCTGATCTCGAACTCCCAACCTCAGGTGATACCTCCGCCTCGACCTCCAAAAGTGCTGGGATTACAGGCATGAGCCACCGTGCCCAGCCCATTTCTTTTTTTATGTAAATTCATTAGTTTGTTAAAACTTCCATGATTCCTTTTATTTTACCCTTACTATTAAAATTCTAAAGTATGCAATTGGTAATTGAACCTGAATAGTAAATTATGTTTGGGAGTAAAATAAAAGACTCGTTGTATTTTGGAAAGTACAATTACATTTTACAACAAAGAAAATTACTACTGTTTTCTGGAACAATTCTGTATCACTGATTTATTGGATTACAACATCAGGGAGGAACTTTTTAACATCTCTTATGTGCAGTTCTTCCTAGGTCTAACCAATCTGTCATCAGCAGGACAGATACCTATAGAGTAGATCTTTTCTACCCTTATTATCCCATTTCATTAGTTTCTTTTCTAAATTTTGTCATTACATAGAGTGACATCAAAGCTAAGGCCCCCCCCAGGCTGTAAACATGTAATAGAGCAGTCTTATTGGCCTGCATGAGAGCTCATTTGGAAGTAGTGTGTCAGGAGGACCTAAGATCATTGGTCCTGTTTCTGTTTTCAGGAACTTAGTCCCTTTGCTGAGTGTTTAATAGTTTGATTCTATGGGTGACAATGTTCGGATACTCTTAAGTTGCTCAAATGATTTATAAATGGATCACAGGTTGTGTTTTTACATATCCTTGGAATGGTATGTAATACAATTTTAATGAACTTAAGTGCTCTAATTAAAAATTAAATTGTGCTTTAATTAACATAAAGTGAGCATGAAGCTCAAATGAGCTTTATTTATAAAGATAATTTCAAGCATAAGTGAAATCATTGTTTAAGAATATTTTGAAGTTTTATTACGTTACATAGATCTGAGCAAGGGGCTTAAATTTTTTTTTTTTTTCATTTGAAAGTGGATAAGTATGGGTCCATTAAACCTCTATATGTTTGTAGTTGACAACACTAAATCTGGGAAACAACCTTTTAGAAGAAGTTCCAGAAGAGATGAAATATCTTGTATCTCTGAAGAACCTCCATTTAGCTGGAAATAGGATCTGTAGATTTGCACCTGGAGCATGTGGTAAGTTAGTCAACAAGGAGCAATGTTATAGCATCAAATTTAATCTCATATTTAATAAGATGAGACTGAAACGAAAAAGAATTTTGCATGCTTAATCTTTTTTTTGTTGGAGATATTTACATACTATTCTTGAAATATAGGAGGAGTTAACACTTTTATAAAGAATTGTATCATATGTTTATTTACATGTAGACCAAAGGAAATAAGTAAGCGTCACTGTAAATGAATTTTCCCCTTTGGAGAATCAGTATAAAGTCAGACTCGTGAATCTGGCGACCCTTTTCAAGAGCTAGAGAAATTCTATCTGAAAAATCAAGTAAAGCTCTACTGTAGCTTCGTTCTTTTCACTTTTTATTCTTAGCTATTAAGTCACATTTTTTTATCAAAATGCTAAATTTAAATCAATTTGGAAAGAATTTTAAAGAAAAGATATGAGATCCAATAAGTGACACATTTTTCTTTCTTTTTCCCATTAACTAATAATTTCACCATTCAAGATGAGACTATTCTTATTTAATATTCCTAGAGTGAGTTTAAGGATAAATGTATGACAAGAGATCTAGATGGCTTTTATAGCTTTATCGACTAATGTAAGGTACTTTACCATTTCTGTGTTGGTCCTTAGTAGTAAAACTAGAGAAATACTATAAAATTTATAAATTTCTATGAACTTTTGATGCACAGGTGCTATATATAATCATTTTCATCTTCACACAGAATTTATTAACAGTATTACTGAATGCAGCATTAAATTTGGGCTTATATTTGGCAAATAACACAAGAAGACTCTAGTACTGTCTTCTTAAAGGTACTTTAAAATCTTAGGTCATATATCTTGGAAAAATATTCTTTTCCAAAACAATAGATGTGACAAACAGTTATTGATACTTGAACACATTATATATGGAAAGCCGTAGATTAGAGTTCAGTTACAATTTACCTTGGAAGAAAACAGTTTATACTAAAAAAGTTAAGGTCATGCAAATCAATAGATAATAATATTTTATGACCTATACTGAGGGTACAAATTTAAGTACAACCTGATGTACATAAACAATATTGAGCATACTAATTTATACTAATTTAAGTCTCTATAAGGAATTTTTTTATCATGTTGCCTTTAAATTTGAGATAATAAGTTAGGTGTATATATATATATATATATATATATATATCTGTTTCTATATCTACATAGATATATTTTATATATGTATATAAAATTTGTTCAAAGTGCTCTTGAATGTCTTTAGTTTCTATATTTTTTTAAAAAAAGTAGTTATTTTTAAAAATTGACATAGCAATTGTATATACTCATGGGGTACATAGTGATATTTTGATACATATCATATATAGTGATCAGATCAGGGTAATTAGCATAGCCATCATTTCAAACACTTATCATTTCTTTGTATTGGGAACATTCTTTATTTGGAGTTGTTGAATTTTGAAAATTCCACATGATTGACATACGTTATGGTCTATGTTAGGTCCTGATGATTCAGTAAGAAGTAGTTTGATGTCAGGGAGTTTAATGCTGCCCAGCATGGGTCTGAACAACCTTGTTGCGTTACATGACCCTGTTTCCCTGACCAGAGCAGATTGATCAGGGCTGGACTTGGGTCCCAAGCTAAGTTTGTCGTATTTTCTCTTTTTTGGGGATTGCAATAGAGTCTAAAACAGTTAAATTGGTTTGAGATAATTTCATGACCTGAGGCAGAAGTTGCAAACTGGTGGCCCATGGGCTGAATCTGATTAATAAGAAAATTGATTCTATTTTGTTGGCCTTTAAAAAACTTTGGATTAAGTACCCACATTTTCAAATCAGGAGAGTTCACATAGAAGTCTGGATCTCTGGCTCTTTTTAAAAATCTGTTTCAAAAAAGAAAGATATAGCAACACTGCAGTTGCATTCCCATGTGACAGTTGTCAGAGCTGGCTGAATGGTGGTGGCTCTGTCTGACCTGGCATGAGGTTATCATCTTGATTCCTGTCGGCATGTGAGTTTGAAAGCTCTGTCTTGTCTGTCTGTGAACATTCAAATTCAGAAGTTATTATATGGTTATGAGTACATAGAAAAAGAGAGCAAACATGTTTAAAACAGAAAGAATGAAGGGAGGAAAGAGAGAGCAGGTAAGAGAATATAAATGTGAAAATGAGAGAAGCTGTAATGAAGAACTAACCTATAGTTTCTGCAGAGATACTCAAAGAATACATTCTTAGGTTCTGGGTGCCTTTTGGCTTCTGATTTCAGTTTGTGATGAGCCTGGTTGCATCCTCTTCCTTCAGGTACAGTGACTTAGATTTGTAACTTTGTGATAAGTTACTCCTTTTTACTTGAGGTAGTTTAAGAGGGTTTCTGTTACCACCACCAAAAGAGCCTTGGCCAACACAAGAACTAGAGGAAATACAAACATATGTAGAAAAGTGATGAAAAATTATCTAACAGATGGCTAAAGTGACGAAAATTATTTTCTAACAGATGGCTTACAAAATTTAATCCTGCTTAATCTGAACAACAATCATCTTACGCAGCTTCCTCAAGAAGTCAGCAGGTAATTTTCTTTATAGCAAGACTTGGTTAACAATCACACCCCCTCTCTATCCCCACCCTGGTCATCTGAAAGTGACCTAACATCAAGTCCCTATGGGGTTTATAAATAGCAAAGAGGGATCTGAAGGACTCAGGCAAGCCACTAACTTTAAGCAGATGATTCCTTAAACACTTTGGAGAAATGAGCAACAGCATGACTTGGTAGTGTTAATGTAAACATGGGGCTTTGAAACATAAAGTTCCAAAGCTTATGGTATCATTAACTTCCCAACTCTAAGGTTCTTAGAGCTTGGTCAGCCTCAGAATTGGATCTATTAAATGTTATTTCACATGTGTATTGTAAACCATTTTGAGCTTGATGGAAAAGGTAATATAAAAACTAAGGATTTAAAACTGCAATGTCATTTTCATTTTTAAAAGCCACATTTTATTGTCATTAACCAAAAAAAAAAAAATGCTGTTTTTCCTTATCCTGCAAATCTGCACAGGCAGAATGCCTTTCTGGAGCCAGCTGAGGGCCTTGTCCTTCTGTAGGCAAAACACCCTCTTGGGCTTTTCCTCTGACAGATGGAGAGAGAACTCTGTTCAGGTTTACTTTGGAGACTCCCTTTATTGCCTGTTGAACAGAAACAGATGTATCACAGAGCAAGAGCATCCAGAGTTTTAAAAGAGAATACCAAACTTTGAAGAGTCCTCAACAAGGGGCTTTCTGCAGCACCTGTCTATTCCAATTTACTTGTCTATACCTCTAGGCAATGCCTTATTTTTCCCAAATATATGACTGTAGTGCAGTGGCACGACCTTGTCTCACTGTAATCCCCGCCTCCTCGGTTTAAGCAATTCTCCTGCCTCCGCCTCCTGAGTATCTGGGACTACAGGAGTGTGCCACCATGCCCAGCTAATTTTTTTCTGTATTTTTAGTAGAGTTGGGGTTTCACCGTGTTGACCAGGATGGTCATGATCCCCTTACCTCTTGATTCACCCACCTCAGCCTCCCAAAATCCAGGGATTGTAGGTATGAGCCACTACACCCAGCCTCCCAGATATATTTTTACAAGAAATCAATAGTTTGAGTAAGCGTGACTAGAAAAGAATTGAATCAATCTAATTTCTTTAGAAGATAAATATTTGCAGCAATGAAAATGCCATGCTAATAGTTGTTGGCTTATTTTTTTACTTATTCACTTTATCAATTGATTTATGTATTGACAATGATATAATTTAAAAAAATCCCTTGGGAGATCTCATGAATGAGGTTCAGGGCATATCTCTGTGCAACTAGATTTATGCATTTGGGCAAGTAATTTAACTGCTTAGGACTGCTGCTTTCTCATCTCTAAAGGAATAATTTTGAATAGATCAACCTCAAACTTTTTGTAGCTATAACATGATTTCATAATTTCATACACTTATCTCTGTTTGGAATACAAAGTATATTCAAGGGATCATATAAATCTAATGGAATATGTTAGAAAGATGAAAGAATGCTTTCACTGAAGCAGATTGCAAAGTGTATAGGTCTATTCCATTTTATAGTTAATTCTGGGTTGTCTGTATTCTGGCCATATCCTAGGTGTCAACTAATTGGTAATCTCTCTAAGCAGAATTCCATTTTCTGATCCTGGGAAAGTTTCTTCACCTTCCTATGTTTTAACATTTTCATCTGCAAAATAAAGATGATGATAATGCTTTCTTTATTGGATCGATTTGACGGTTAAATAAGCAAATCCATGCAAGACATTTAGGGTTGAGCCTGAGACATAAAAGGTATTAGGGTTAAGTGCTCAATGGATGTTAGCTTTTATTATTATTGGTTGTTATTTTTATTCTAGCTTCTTTCCGTTCTCTTTGTTCACTCATTTCCAGAGACAAAAGAATGACTTCCCAGTGGATTTAGGCAAAGCATTGAGCATATGTAGCTTGGCATTCTCCTTTTGCCTTGCCACGAAGTAAGCGGCTGCCTCAGAAGGAAAGGCTGTGAAGGGGTGGTACATTTAATTCAGAGGAGGGCTAGCAGGGACTCAGAGTGATCATGTCAGTTCTGTGCTGATGTTTGATTTCCTTCTCTCTAAATCCCATATCTTATTTCACAATTTGTTTAAAACTTAGGAGAGGGAAAAGGAGTTTTGTTTTTTGGCTAGTTTAAACTCCAGAATATCAGTTCATGGACTAGGAGCCAAACCTGGATAGGTAAGAGTTTTACCACTAAACAACGCTGTCATGGGCAGTGCTGCCCAGGCACAGGAGGAGGAGAACATAGGCATCCTGGTGACAGAATGAGTCTGGAAGAAAGAGATAAGAGTAAAGGACTAGTCAGCAGGCTCAGTTCTTTCTCCAAATTTGCCAGTCAGTGAAGTTGTTCTTCAGTCTTTTGGGGAAGACAGATGTGAGGGAGAAGCTGCAAGTACATTTCCTGTAGATTTTATTTGGAAAAGTAGAACATCTCCCCGCTTTGTGGAAACAGGAACAATGGCAGATACTCATTTCTCTCCCTCCTCTTTACTCACACAAATGAATGACAGACAAATGAACGATAGGATCTGAGCTCATTTTATTGCCTTGAAATAAAAAAAATGAACAAGCCAACTCCCATAATGTAGCAAATCAGAGTAGAGTAAATAAAAATAATGATTATAAAAATGATTAATGAGGAAAATTTCCCTTCCCATTCCCCACAGAACCTGCTCCACACATTTTCACTCCATTTCAATGCTGAGTTGTCCTTCTTTGACCCACTATACTGCAAAGGACTTTACTTCCTATTTTCCTGAAAATTTACTCTCCCTGAATTCTCTTCTTTTCTGCCTCTTTCTCTCCATTGGTCTATTTCTTTCCTTTCTCTCTTGCTTCTTTGTTATCTCTCTCTAAAGCACCCTCTGCCTATTGCTTTTGCTTCCTGTGTAAGACATTGCACATTTTCTTGTCTCTTCTCCATTCTACCGTAGATCATTTTCAAATGTTGTTATTGTCCTTTACATATAATGGCCTTTTTTTCCTGCTGAATAAAAATTACATAAAACTGATAAGCATACAATTCAATGCATTTTGACAAATGTGTACACACCAATAACATGTAGAACATTTTCTTTAGCCTAGAAATTTCCTTATGCACCCTTCCAGTGAATTCTTACCTTTCATAAACAGTCAATATTCTGATTTCTGTCTTCTTTACAAATGAGTTTTACTAGTCCTAGAACTGAATAAGTGGAGTCATATAGTATATACATTTTTGTGTCTGTCTTCTTTTGCTTAGCATATTTTTTGAGACTCACTTAACTGTTGCATTTATTAGCTTCACATGGTAGAAGGGGAAGGAAGCTCTCTGGGGCATTTTGTAAGGACATTAATCCCATTTATGAGGGTTTACCCCCTCATTATGACTTAATCATCTCCCAAAGTCCCCATCTCCTAATATCTATCACATTGGGGATTAGATTTTAACATATGAATTTTGAGGGAACACAAATATTCAGACCATAGCACTATCATTTCCCCAATACCATTGATCTTGATTACTGTAGCTGCGTTATAGGTAATGTGAGTCTTTCGATTTTATTCCTCTTTATAATAGTTTGACTGTTCTAGGTCCTTTGAATTTCTGTATCAATTTTAAAATTGATTTTTTTTTTTTAAGATGGGTTCTCACTATGTTTCCCAGGCTGGTCTCGAACTCTGGGCTCAAGCATTCCTCCTACCTTAGCCTCCCAAAGTTCTGGGTTTACAGGCATGAGCCACTGCACCTAGCCCAAGTCAAGTTTTATACAAAAAAAGCTGTTGGAATTTTTATTTGGATCTATTACTGAATCTATAGATCAGTATTAAAAAGTTGTTATCTTAGCAATATTTTTCTTTTCTATACCTGAATATAATACATCTCTGTTTTATTTAGAGCCCCTTTACATTCTCTCAGTCATGATTTATAGTTTTCAGTGTCCCTCATGTCTTTTGTTATATGTACTCATAACTACTTCATGAAGGGTTTTCTGTACATTACTATAAACAAAATTCTTAAACATTTATTTTCTAGTTGTTTGTGGCTACAGTATGGAAATACAATAGATACAATAGACTATATTAAAAATCTATTGTAGTTTGTGACCCTGCTTTTAGTTCCACTAATTTTGTTTGTTAGTTTGGATTATCTCTCTTTAACATTTAAACTTTTGACCATCTCTTTAATTTTGAAATTTTCTTCTCTCACACCTTCAGAGATTCCTTGCTAATCTGGTTCTTTTTCTAATTCTATGCTTATAACTTTGCTGGGTGCCTTTAATTAATGGTCAGGTGTTTATATTTCTCAAGAATCCCTCTATTGGCATCCTCTTTCTTCTCTCTGCCCATTTTCTTTTGTTGTTCTTCCTGTCAGTCCCATGTATTCGTATGGCTTATACTATGTACAGAGAAATCTGTAGAGTCCTCACAATTCCCTTTGCTAGCACTGATCACTTTCTAACCTCCAGTCTCCCATTTTAAACTAACCTAAAAATTTAGTTCCCTCATTCTGACGTTACTTCAATCTTAATACACTTAAGCCTCGAGATCATTACATCTTAGCTTTGCAAAGGGACACACCTGCATTAGAATTTTGATATTGTTACCTACTAGATAGGTAACTTGGACAATTTATTTACTACCTCTGATGCTTTATTTTCCTCATTTTTAAAATAAGAGTAGTAATTCCAACCTCAGAGTTATGCTGACAATTACATTTAATGCACAGCCATGTAGTTGTGCTTAGTAATGTTAATTCCCTTCTGCTTCCTTATTCATAATATTTTTCTTAGCTTACTATTCCCTCTTATTGCCCTATTTTATAAGTTCTTTTATTCAGGGCCAAATTCAAAATGTCAATTCTTTAGAAAAGCTTGCAATATACTTCTGGTACCATATCTGCAATTACAGACTCAAATTTTCTTAAGCTTTTTCTCTTAGCCAATGACATTTTCTGTTCTCAGTTTATGGCTCTATTTAATATTTTCTTCTAAACCACGGTATCCAAAAGGGCAGAATTTGTGTCTGATTCATCTTTGAACTTCTAAAGCAATTGAGCAGTACTCATATATATGTGGTCCTGGGTATATTTATATCTATGTGTGCTTATGCCTGTACATGTATTGATCTGTATCCATGTTTGTGTATACATAGGTATGTCAGTGTCCTCCTTGTCCTCTAGCTTTCTCTTGGATATGGCCAATGAATATGTATAAAGAAAGAAAATAGAATTTTCTTTTTTAAAAATCTAACTTTTGATTACCTAACATACTTTTAACATAAGCCATCTGATTATAAAAGATCTTTAAAAATTAAATTTCAGCAAAAACTTTTTATACTTATAATTTATGATAGATGTAAACACTTGACTGAAGTAAGCTCAGATGAGCTACAAAAAACAAATTCATACATGGCTTCTGATAATTTGGGCCTATACAGTAGACTCTGTTATTCTTGTGAGTTTCATTTATATACTTTGGTGTTTTTTTCTTTTAGATTAAAAAGTCTTACTCATATGAGTATAAATTTTAACCAACTAGCCAGCATTCCTAGAGAACTTTGTTTTCTTAAGAATCTTTCTGAACTTCAACTTAACTACAATCAGCTAAAATGCATACCTGAAGAGATTAAGTTCTTGAAGAAGCTTCAGAAACTTTTGCTAGCCAGAAACAACATTGGAGTTTTGCCAAAGGTGAGCAAAACATGGAACCACACTATTGTGTTGTTGGAGAAGAACTCAACATGATGGGAGGTGGTTATAGATTAGATTTTGATATCTGAGTATAAGCTATCACTTGCTTTTCCTCAGATTAAATGTAGCCATTTCCCAAATCCCTATGATAAAGGAAGGCTGTAATTTCAATTATCCCACCTAGCTAGGGTAGCCAGATTTAATAAATACAATATAGAATGCTCACTTAAATTTGAATTCCAGATAAGCAATGATTAAATTTTTTACTGTAAATATGTTGCTAATATTGCATGAAATATACTAAAAAACCTATTTATTGTTTGATATTTCAGTTTAATTGAGCAGTATATCTGGTAACCAGGTATACAGAACAAAATACAAGTTCATTTTGGCTTTGGAGCATGTACTGGCTCTCTTCGCTTTTTCCTTCATATTCACTGTCCATCCTGCCTTCTGCTTGGGAGATTGACCTCTGTGGGCATCAGTGAACCCCTTTGTCCTCTGGTTTCCTCTTGGATATGGCAGATGAGAGGCACTGGCAGGAAGTGACAGGGCAGGAGGATTGTAAGTAGTTGATGATATTCCCATGGTACCTTCTCAGACAGGGTGCTGAGGGTTAGCTGTGTGCCTTTCTGGAAGGCCACAACTAGTGAACTAATAATATATTTAGATAGATAGATAGATAGATAGATAACATGGGATTTATTAGGGGAATTGGCACACATAATTTTGGAGACTGAGAAGTCCTATCGCAGGCTATCTGCAAGCTGAAGACCCTGGGGTGCTGGTAGTGTGGCTGAGTCCAACTCTAAAAGCCTCAGAACCAGGGAAGCAAATGGTGTAATTCTTAGTTGGAGGTCAAAGGCCTGAGAACAGGGAGGTTGTGGTGGTGGTACTGGTGTAAATTTTAAAGTCTAAAGGCTGGAGAGCCTGGAGTTCTGAGGTCCAGGGGCAGAAGTGTCCCAGCTCCAGGCGAGAGAGGAAATCACATTTTTTTTTTTTCTATCCAGATCACTAACTGATAGGATGGTACACAACAACACTGAAGACTAATCTTTCCCACTCCATCTACTGACTCACATACCCATCTCCTCTAGAAACACCCTCACAGACACACCCAAAACAAAGGGTTACCAGCATTCTAGGTATTAGTTAATCCAGTCAAGTTGACACCTAAAATTAACCATCACACTAGACTTCTTATAGTTCTATCCCAAACAACTGTTTGCTCTTAATGGAACATTATTTGTTCTAAAGAACTAAGAATCTCAGCTTAAACTTCACTTTTTCCAGGAAGCCTTTTCTGACCTCCTAATACCAAATTTTCCATGTATCACCATTTCCCTAACCCTTCATAACACTTTTCATTCTCATAGCACAACTTTGTCATTGCCTATTTGTGAATTTTTAAATCTTCATTGAATATTTGTGAGGTGTATACACATGCAAAGATTAGAAAAAGACAGCAACAGGTATCAACAGGAATAATAGTGGCAGTCATGGCAGCAAAAACAAATGTAAACGAAAGTGTTGCCGGCAATGATGGAAGTAATACAATCAAGTGTTTTCAAGTAGGGTGAGAAGCCCGTATATCATAACATGAGATACTGAAGGAACGCACTGGAGTCTGAAAATCTGTAGCTCACGTAATACAAAGGAGAGTATCATGGCAATGGAAGACTATGTAGGACTTAGGAAGAGGACTTCGTGCATGGTAGAGGGCTCCGTTCAAGCACTTACTGCCTAGCTGTAGGGAATGTAGGGAATGGGGATTTTAGACAGCCTCCAGCTGTTAGCTCTTTCAGAGTCTGCCTTAGCTGCAGAGAGCCTCTTTTTTTGCCCAAGGTCATATGCTGTTCCTAAAGCATTCTGGATCCTGTGACCAAACAAGGGAGGGAATAAAGGCTTGGCCATTTCTGCCTGATGGAGAATAATTTGGATGGGCGATAGCCCTCTGGAGCTCCCTGCCCACCTACACAAGATTCTATTGTGTCTGAATTCTACCTCAACTTCCCCATCTGCTCAGTCCTGCTTCCTGACCCTGCCTTTTACAAGGGTGATCCTTAATAAATATTTAGCACCTCAAGTTCCATCTCAGCATATGCTTCCAGAGCATGAAACCTGTGATAACATGTGATAAAACTGAGGAGGACGAGTATTGGCATGACTGAAGAGGCATATTATCTCCCTAGGGAGAAGTTTGATCATCAATATATAAGTGACGTTTTAGAAATACCACTATAAGTGGTTGGGACTGTTTAGTAAGTCATACCTCTAGTTTTTAATTAAAAAGGTTTTTTTTGTTTCTGCTTAAAGACAAATACTACTTATCCTTTGCTTGCTAGTAGAAATGCCAAAACCCAGATGCATCACAACAACTGTGTGGTTACCATGGTAATGAGCAGTCACATTGGGCATGTAGATAAAGACAGTAACAGATTTTATTTATTTTGTAAGGAAAGGGTTGTGTTAGCATAGGGCTAAGCAAAAGGTAGTTGTTTAGTAAATCCTGGTGGAATTTTCAACAGAGACAATGTTCCAAGATTACATCTCTTTTCTGTTTCTCAAAGTCTCTTTCTATTTTAATGATTGGTAATGTCTATTGAGTGCTCACTGCATAGTAGGTCTTTAGTAAGCACTTTCAGGTTCGTAACTCATTTAATCCATTCAACAACCATATGACGTAAGGGCTTCTATTAGCATTTTCATTTTACAAATGAAGAAATTGAAGTACAAATAAATTTAAAAATTTGCCCATAGTTGTAGTACCTGCCAGAGTTGAGATTTGAATCTAGAAGTAGCGTAACTCACAGTGGCCATGTTACGTTGCCCTGGAGTGGTCAGAGGAAATGAAGAATTCAAAGATGTCTGGCAGTCCAGAATATGGGGATCTGCTCGAGAAGATGTACTGAATAATTGGTCAGGTGATTGGAACTTTATCATGTTTGAGTTTTAAAAAGAAATTATGATTTTCTTTATCATTTTAATACTAGATTTTAAAAAGTATCTCTCCTTTCTGTTTTCTGACACAGGAACTTTGTGATCTTAAAAAACTCAGAATCCTAGACATAGCGGGAAATATTATTCGGATATTTCCATCAGGAGTAAGTAGAATCAACTTCTATTATAATTGAAAAATAATTTTGTTTATGCTATTGGGAATAGAAAAAAACATGGGCAGATGGTAAAACCTGTAGTAATTGGAACCTTAAATTATACAAATGACTCAAAGATTTGCTTTGTTTTAGAATTTCAAAACCTGTTCTCTCTTGTTTCTTTGTGTTCTGTGCCTGCTGAACTTGTTTGAACTAAGTGAACTCTGATTTCTATCATAAATATTTTAATATATCAGCTATGATTAAATTTTTTGGTTATTACATACTGCTTTTGGTCACCTCTAACTTTTTGAAAATATTACTTTTCAGAGCATAAATTTTTATCCCTTGTAATTAATTCAAAGGTGACACTTTTGTTAGTTGTTTTTAAGCCATAAACAATTAAAAATATGCTTTTTTTCTCATTTGAAAATGAATTTTGACATAGTTTTATTTCAAATACTGAGCAAGAGTTTGTCTTGGCAATTCCCAACTTTTGAGAAAGAAATGTCACTTTTTCCTATTGCATTTTTATATCCAAGTGAACATGCTTGAACATTCAAGGTAATAATTAGAAGTCTATCTATCCAGAAGGTATTCAATGAATAGTTGTTGACCCATTAATTATTTTTCCTGACTGATCAGTACTCTAAATTGAGGTTTCAGTCTTTTTTTTTTACCCCCTAGAGCAGTATTTTATACTGAAGGTAATTCAAATATAAAAAAGTGAGTATAAAGTCTATGTTTTAGAAAAACATGTACAGTTTTTAAATTGTGGCAAAATAGAGACAACATAAAATTTACATTCTCCCACTGAAACTCTCTATCCATTCAACTCTAGCTCCCCATTCCCTTTGTACACCTATTTTAGAAGTTTCTGTAAATACTTTGAAATAAAATATTTCCCCCCTCCATGGCAACCTACTATATGTCTCTGAATTTGACTACTTTAGGTACCTAGAGTAGTGTAAGTGGAACCAGATATTTGTTCTTTATCACTGACTTATTTCACTTAGTAAAATGCCATTAACATTCATCCATCTTATAGCATGTGTCAGAGTTTCCTTCCTTTTGAAGGCTAAATAATATTCAGTTACGTGTATATATCACATTTTGTCTATCCACAGGTATCTGCCCACCTGTGGGACCTTGGGCTGTTTTCTCATTTTGGCTATTGCTGCTATGAGCGTGGGTATACAAACATTTGTTCTTTACTTTCAGTTCCTCTGGGAACATACTCAGATAAAATTGTTGAGTCATATGGTAATTCTATGTTTAATTTTTTAAAGAATCACCACAGTGTTTCCAAAAATGTGTAGATTTGAATGTTTAGTACAAATTGGATATTGCTAATATTGACCTCGAAAATGTGACATGATTTTACTTATCCTCTGGGTCTTAATTTAACTCTCTATGTCCTGTGATGCCTGCTTGACTTCCAAAACAGGCTTTTGGTGCCACTTCTTCTTTGGTACCACTGGTGCCACTACTACTTCTATGGTACCTTCTTGTGCCACTTTTTCTGTGGTATTTCGATGATATACTTGGGCAACATAATGGAGTAATTCATTTCAAGTCTTTCTTGCCCTTGGATGGTAAGTTTCCAGAGAAAGAATACTCTTTTTTACAAATTAGTCATTTTTTTTTTTTTTGAAATTCATATGGCTTTTGAACATTTGAAACTATATTTTCACCAGGACTTTTCTATAAACACTTTCCTTAAATGAATATTCTTCAATTATATGATTTTTAATCATTGGATGTTCTTCTACCTTTTCTTTATAATATCTTCACTTTTTCTAACATTTTTATTTATTACCGGAATTAGAATTGGATTTTGAATGAACAAGCTTTTGAGAACAAGGATGATCTGAAATAAAATGTCTTTTATTTGTATCTCTCTTTAGAGAATAATATTTCTGAAGTATGGCACCTTTAGTGGACAGTGGACAATCTGTGGTAACACTGCTGGTTGTTCAGCTAGTGCAGGAAATAGTGATGCTTGTTATATTAGTTTCCTGGGGTTGCTATAGCAAAGTATCATAAACTGGGGCTTAAAGGAGCATGGCTTTGTTTTCTCTTCTTAGAATGATACCAGTCCTTGGATTGTGGACCACTGTAATCCAGTATGACCTCATTTTAGCTAATTACATCTGCAAAGACTCTGTTTCCAAATAAATTCACCCTCTAAGGTTCAGAGTGGATATGACTCTTGGAGGACACTATTTAACCCATTATACTTTGATAGAACATTGAGTTTGTTACTCTATTCAGTGTCTGCTAGAGCAATTGATATAAATATTGTTGATGAGGTTTATATGACATTCCAATTTCATAAACACTTACTGAGTACCTTCTCTGTTGCCAAGCTTTCTTCTAATCTGGGGAAGCAGGTAAACAAATATGGATGTTGCTGTCTAGAAACTTTGGAATTTGTGTTTGAAAAAATCTCTAAACATTGAAGTGAACCCTGGAGATATCATAAGAACAAGATAAATGCATGATTTTTAATGGCTGACAGAAATTTAAAATTAGAAAAATCAAAGATACTGGCATTAATTAACTTGAACAAAGAAGCAAGTCAGGTAGGTGGTAATTTCATTGTTGATTTCAAAACACTAAGGAGAAAGTGGCCTGTTGCCTTCATAAGTTTTGACAATGGATCAAGAAAAAACTTCTTATTATTTACCACTAAAGGAATAGACTATCATCATGGGATTTCTGGGAAGAAAGGATTACTAATCTCTTTCTTTAGGGCAGAAAACTTGGTCTCTTAAGTAGTTGTGATTCAGTCTTTTCAACAGAAAAAAAAGCAAATCACTGAAATTTTATAGTTCCTTTGAAACAATTTTTAAAAAATCTTTTTATCACAGGTCTTCTTTCTCTGGCTCCTCTTTCTCTCAGGAGCCCAGTTATTTTTCAAACTGCAATCATTTGAAGAGAAAGATGACCTGACAAAAGTGAGAAAAAGTTTTAATGATCATCACCAGGAGGCATCATGAGGTTTGTCTTAGATGTGAAGTTTGTAGCAAAATATCATATATAAAACATTGCAGACCAAACAGAAAACTTCACATTTCAGTAAGCTCTTGGTTAGAATCCTCCATTAGCAATCTATCTGAGGACCTGTAGTATTATGACTACTTTTCAAATTCACGAGTAGTGTTCAAAGTTATCTTTCTGGATCAATACTTTGCCATTATCTAGAAATTTGCAAGTTACCAAATCTATCTGATATTGAATAATCCCTTGAAGAAGACAGATTTGTTACCATTATTCCCATTTGGAGCTGAGGATATTGAGGCTCCAGAGAAGCAGTTTGTCTGTAGCAGTGACCCTCAAATTTGAGTGTGCATCTGAATCCCCTGGATGGCTTTTTAAAACCCAGAAGGCTAGGCCCTCCCTCAAGGGTTCTGAGTCAGTAGGTTGGGGATCCCACAGGTTTGCATTTCCATTATGTTCTCGGGTAATACTGAGGCTGTAAGTCTGGGAACCACACTTGGAAAACCATTGCCCTGAAGGATGGAACAGTAGCCGAGCTTGAACTTGCACTGAGGAATCCATTCATTGTCTCAGGTTGGGACAGTCCCTGTTATGCTATACAAATAAGGCCTTTCTTTAAGCTTCCTGGGAGTCTGGGTTCTGAGAATTTCACTGTGTCCTTGACTAAAATGATACTCAAGGAACATTATTTGGGCAATAGAATTTTCGTATACTCTGAAAAATATTTCACGTAGAAACTAGGATTTTGGTATGTGAACACGAGGAATGCCTATATGGTTGGGGGCTGAGTTTTATATGTTTAATTTGGTTAGCCTTCTTTTTGGCCACACTGTGGATGTACTCAGTGCATATATGCCATTAACAAAACTTCTTGAACATTTATTCATTAGCCAATCTAAAAATTGGAGAGATTTTTTAGCATGTGAATTTAACACTAAATTTTATTTTGGAGAAATTTGGGGAAGGCCAAATCTTTACCTTGCTACTTTCATTTCTGAATTTTGTCTATAAGGTTCCCCCCTTGCATCGGGTGGTTATAGTTTGGAAGTGAAACTCAAGTGTAGCTAAAACATTTACAAGGATACAGATAAATGTGACAACTTATGAGAAAGTGCTTTCTTAAGAGTAGGCACTTAAGAAATGTGCTTTAAAAGATGTAAATTATACCCAATGCTACATTTTCCACAGTTGCTGCTTTCTTTCAATTTCAAAGTCATGATATTAACATTCATGTGAATCTGTAGCTTCCATAAACACATTCTGTGTCAAAGTTAAGAATCTTAAGTATTTGTATATCCCTAAGGTTTGTAGGCACACACTGTTTTTGTAAGAAAAAAAAATATAAAGAGGGAAGGCCTCATGCAGTGATGTTGTCATGAGAAAAATTATGCTTGGACTATTTATGGGAAATCATAGCACCTATTCCATTTCATCAATGCCCCTTTTTTCCTTCAAGAATTCTTTAGAGTTATCATAAATCAAATTTGAGAATAGTGGAAGCAGTTTCCTCTTTTACAGTATGAGAAACACAGCAGGAAAAAGAATGGAAGCAACTTTCCCAGAAACACAAATCATTTGAATAGTGAGGAGAAGATTTGAATCCATTTTTCCCAAACCAAAATTAAATTTGCCTAGCTTAACAGTGTACCCATTATGTGACATTGGACAGGTCTTGTATCATCACATTGCTAGGAAAGTGTCTCACACAACAGTTCGTGGTTAGTAATGATAGAATGAGTGAATTATTAAATGAGATAATGTATATGAATTATTATTAGTGTTTGGCACATGATAGATATTGAATGTTGTTTTCTTGTCATTTTAAGGTTTGGTCTGAGATACCTCCCCTTCAATCCACCCCAAATTTAGGGTTATCTCTGAAGGCTTTCAAAGCCATGATATCACCTGAATGATTGTAACTTGCAACTGTTAAGGTAACCAACTGATCTTTACCCAAGGGTGTACAAGAGTGGCTGGTTTCAGCAGTACACACATACTGCTTCCTATTCCCCAGGTTGTCTTTGCCCTGTTCCAGGTTATTTTCTTCTGCGGATTCCTTTACATTCTTTAGTCTTACCTTCTTTGGGCAACAAAACAGAACCAATAAACTATCTCCCTGAAGGGTTCTCTTTTCCCTGGCTCTTTGCCTTTGGTTTTCCGTTTATTTATGTCTTATCCTTTCCCTCTCCCTCTTGGTTCATTTGGTTTCTGTTTGCCAGACCAGATCAGATTCCTCTGGAAATAGGACCTCTCATTACTGAATTCCCTGTGCCTTAGACACTTCACTTAACTTGTTGCCTACTACTTATTCTGATGTCTCTTCTTTCTTTGGATATTTTTAATTTAAAAGGATTTCTCTTTTCATAGCCAATGCTGAATGATTTTGATCCACAACAGTGTAAGCTTATCTTGCTATAATGTCCTTGGGTCCAGACGCTTGCCTGATGTCTAGCATGGTACATACCCTGGTTTGCTGTCATTTTCTGTCTGATTCTTGTCTAATTCAAGTAGTCCCAGTACTCCCGGTATCATCTATATCTATATCTATCTATCTATCTGTGTTTGTGTGTATATATATAATATATGTATACATTTGTGACTAATACGAAGTCAAGTGAAGAAAGCCATTTTATTTTTGAATGATTCTCATCATTTCCAAATGAACTCACCTGCCTTCGATAGAATGATTTCCATATATGAGCAGTAATACACAAATATGTGCACATGCAGACAAGCATTCCTAGGGACACCATTTAGTTTTACATTAACAAAAATATTTCTGTGAGATTGATTGAACACTTGGAGATTATCTATTTCAAATATAAACACATCTATGATCAAAAATGTCCCTAAGTGGTCTAGAAAGTGCAATACAATTGTGGGAAAAAAACTGCTTGGGAAAGTAAAATTGTGATGTTTGCCTTCTGTCAAAACTTTTGAAACTCTTTTGCAAAATGGTTAGAAAACAGCCTACAAGTTTAAAAGTGATACATAGGGAAATGTCCATAAAGCTGTGGTCCAGAACATCCCTGAATATCTTCACAGTCTAGTGATTTGCTTGGAAGTACCCACTTTGCTCAAATGGCATGAGAAATTCCAGTTGGCTGCCTTATCCCTTTTGTTGTTCTGCCTCTTTCAATTAGCAACATTAGAGATCCACTTTATTTTGGTTCCCATGTGAATAGTTTGTTTTCTCTCTCTATTTAAGTTTAAGGAAAAGTATGCCCTATTCTTGAAGCTCATTAAATGCCTCTCTAAAATTTGACCTTGATTTCAAAATAGAATAATTCTCTTTGGTTGTCAATGCTCCCTTCAGTGGCTCAGTTTATTAGGAGACATACATTTAAAATAACATTCACTGACCTTTTAAAAAATGGGACACAAGCCAATGCTTTTCTAATGGAAACCCCTTGTGGGTTCTGTGGTTTTATGTAAGTGATGTAAGCTTAGCTAATATAGAATTCATGAGTTCCAAAACTTGACTAAATGCTTTCCCTGTCACTACTTTTATGAGAATGAGATCATGTTTTCTGCTGTTTCTTATATGGGGGTGGGCGAAGAGGAGGGTATCGAATTATGTGTTATTGCTTCTTTTACCATTCTAATTCTAAAATTTCATGGGGTAGACTTTTGGAAATGAAAAGCAGAGAGAAAAAAATTATAAAATATTATCTTCAATGCAATGGTGATTTTGTTCAAACTCTGTTTTAAAAATTGAAGACCCAATTAAGTTAGGGGATACAACTATCTCTGTTTAAATTACGTAATTTGAGTTCTGACTTTCTACTTCTATATGTGATTTTATTAGAATTAAAGATAAGCTGGTCCTGAATGCCTATAAAGTGTAAGTGCTGCAAAGGACCCTGTTTCACATGGTATAGTGGTTGGTGAACACCATTTCACCAACCACTATCACTAGCTACTCTTGAAAATTTTATTCTTCTAGCCAAGTACCTAATGAAAGTGATTCAGGAGATAAAAGGGATGCCTTGCTTACCTTCAAAATGGAGATCCTCAAATTTCAGCAGCATTCACCTCTCTTGTTAAGAGGTAGGAAGGACAGGATCATAAAGTCAGAGAGCTGGAACTTCTGTGTTTTCTGGTGTTGCAGTAAAAGTGGAGTTCAAATGATTTCAAAATCAGGGCCAGTATTTTTCAGAAAGTAAACTTAAATAATTCGCAATATTATAAAGAAAGACTGATTGAAATCAAATGTGGCTCTTGTACAGACTGTTTAAACATTGATTTTCATTTAGATTATTTCTCTCTCTCTCCCTTCCCTCTCCAAGTAATCTCTATGGAGGTGGGGGACTTTGTTCCCTTTCACTGATGTATTCTAAACTTATAACAGTGCTTGGCACAGAGTAGGCACCCAATAAATAGTTACAGAAAGGATGGGTAGACGGATAGATGGATGGGTGGGTGGGTATGGATTTTATGTAACAAACATGATTGCTTTGCTCTTCTGAGAAATCAAAACTAATTTGTGACAATTAATAACAAAGTTGTTCTAAGGCAGTGGTTTTCAACTAGGGAAGATTTAGCCCTCCCTCCATGTCCCCGGGATATCTGGAAATATATGGAGCTATTTTTTGTTGTGAAAACTGAGGAGTGGTACTACTGGCATTTAGTGAGTAGAGGCCAGAGATCCTGCTAAATGTTCTGTAATGCATAGGACAGTCCCCCATAACAAAGTATTACCTGGCCCAAAATGTCCAGGTTGAGGTTGAGAAACCTTGTAAGGGACTGACTATTTCTTTATGTTCTCCAGGCCTTAATCCCAATAAAATATATTCTTATCAAATAGATTTTAGAATGTATAAGAATCAGCAACGAGCTTGGTAAAATGTTGATACCTGGGCCCCATGCTCATATATTATAAATTATTGCTAATAATGCTTTTGGATTTAAAGTTGAATTTTTTCTGATATGAATATAGCTATATTATTTATAAATATGTATTATATATTTTGATTCATGTTTACATGATATATGTGTTTTCACAGCCTACTTTTAACCTTTCCATATCCTTATATTTTAGATGTATCTCTTAAAAATACCATATAATACTTCATTTAAAAAATCCATCTGACTATTCTTTCTTTCTCTTTGTTTGAGATGAGGTCTTGCTATTTTGCCCAAGCTGGTCTTGAACTCCTGAGCTCAAGCTATCTTCCCACTTCAGCCTCCTGAGTAGTTGGGACTATAGGCAGGTGCCACCTTGCCCAGCCTGCTGGGTATATGTAATTCGTTTTACTTGTTCTGTACTCCTTTTCTCCTTTTTTCTTGCCTTCTTTTGAAATAATTGGATACTTTTTATGACTCATTTTTTTAAATCTTATGAAATTTTATACCATTTTACTATTCTTTTTTAAAAATTTTCTTTTATTTTAGGTTCTGGGATACATGTGCAGAATGTGCAGGTTTGTTACATAGGTAAACCTTCTCCATGGTGGTTTGCTGCATCTATCAACCCATCACCTAGGTATTAAGCTCCACATGTGTTAGCTATTTGTTCTGATGCTCTCCCCTGCGCCACTCTCCCAATAGGCCCTGGTGTGTGTTGTTCCCTTCCCTGTGTCCATGTGTTCTCATTGTTCAGCTCCCACTTACGAGTGAGAACATATGGTATTTGGTTTTCTGTTCCTGTGTTAGTTTGCTGAGGATGATGGCTTTCAGCTTCATCTAGGTCCCTGCAAAGGACATGATCTCATTCCCTTTTATGGCTGCTTAGTATTCCATGGTATATATGTACTACATTTTTTTTTTAATCCAGTCTATTATTGATGGGCATTTGGGTAGGTTCCAAGTCTTTGCTATTGGGAATAGTGCTCCAATAAACATATGTGTGCATGTGTCTTTAAAAGAATGATTTATTATCTCTTTGGGTGTTATGCCCAGTAATGGGATTGCTGGGTCAAATAGTATTTAAGATTCTAAATCCCTGAAGAATCACCACACTGTCTGCTCCAGTGGTTGAACTAATATACATTCCTACAAATTGTGTAAAAGCCCATTTCTCTGCAGCCTTGCCAGCATCTGTTGTTTCTTGACTTTTTAATAATTGCCGTTCTGACTTGTATGAAATTGTATCTCATGGTTTTGATTTGCATTTCTCTAATGATCAGTGATGCTGAGCTGTTTTTTCATATGTTTCTTGGCCACACAAATGTGTTCTTTTTAGAAGTGTCTGTTCATGTCCTTTGCCCACTTTTTGATTTTTTTTCTTGTAAATTTGTTTAAGTTCCTTGTAAATTCTGGATATTAGACCTTTGTCAGATGGGTAGTTTGCAAAAATTTTCTCCTGTTTTGTAGGTTGCCTGTTCACTCTGGTGATAGTTTCTTTTACTGTGCAGAAACTCAGTTTAATTAGATTATATTTGTCAATTTTTGCTTTTATTGCTATTACTTTTGGTGATTTCATCATAAAATCTTTGTTCATGCCTATGATGAACATCATAAAATCTTTGTTCTGCATAATATTGCCTGGTTTTCTTCTAAGGTTTTTATGGTTTGGGGGTTTACATTTAAGTCTTTAATCCATCTTGAGTTAATTTTTGTATAGTGTGTAAGGAAGGGGCCCAGTTTCAGTTTTCTGCATATGTCTGGCCAGTTTTCCTAGCACCGTTTATTAAATAGGGAATCCTTTTCCCATTGCTTGTTTTGTCAGGTTTGTTGAAGATCAGATGATTGTCAATTTGCAGTCTTATTTCTGAGATGTCTATTCTGTTCCTTTGGTCTATGTGTCTGTTTTGTTACCAGTGTCATGCTGTTTTGGTTACTATAGCCTTGTGATATAGTTTGAAGTCAGGTAGCATGATACCTACAGCTTTGTTCTTTTTGCTTAGAATTGTCTTGCCTATTAGAGTTCTTTTTTGGTTCCATATGAATTTTAAAGTACTTTTTTCTAATTCTGTGAAGAATGTCAATGGTAGTTTGATGGGAACAGAATTTAATCTATAAATTACTTTGGGCAGTATGGCCATTTTCACCATATTGATTCCTATCCCCAAGGATGGAATGTTTTTCCAATTGTTTGTGCAATTGGAATTTCCTTGAGCAGTGGCTTGTGAGTGTGCAAAATAACCAGCTAGCATCATGATGACATGATCAAATTCACACATAACAATATTAACCTTAAATGTAGATGGGCTAAATGCCTCCATTAAAAGATACAGACTGGCAAATTGAATAGAGTCAAGACCCTTCATGTGCAAAGACACATATAGGCTCGAAATAAAGAGATGGAAGAAAATTTACCAAGCCAATGGAAAGCAGAAAAAAGCAAAGGTTGCAATCCTAGTTTCTGACAAAACAGACTTTAAACCAACAAAAATTAAAAAAAAGACAAGGGTAGTATATAATGGTAAAGGGATCAATTCAACAAGAAGAGCTAACTATCCTAAATATATATGCACCTAACACAGGAGCACCCAGATTCATAAAGCAAGTCTTAGAGAACTACAAAGAAACTTAGACTTCTACACAATAATAGTGGGAGACTTTAACGCCCCATTGGCAGTATTTGACAGATCATTGAGCAGAAAATTAACAAGGATATTCAGGACTTGAACTCATCTCTGCATCAAGTGGACCTGATAGATATGTATAAAACTCTCTACCCCCAAACAACAGAATGTACAGTCTTCTCAGTGCCACATGGCACTTACTCTAAAATCGATCACATAATTGGAAGTAAAGGACTCCTCAGCAAGTGCAAAACAACTGAAACCATAGCAGTCTCTCAGACCCCTGTGCAATCAAATGAGAACTCAACATTAAGAAACTCACTCAAAACTACACAACTACATGGAAATTGAACAACCTGCTCCTGAATGACTCATAGGTAAATAATGAAATTAAGGCAGAAATCAAAATGTTCTTTGAAACTAATGAGAACAAAGAGGCAATGTACCAGAATCTCTGGGATGCAGTTAAGCGGTGTTAAAAGGCAAATTAGTAGTAGTCAATGCTCACATCAGAAAGCTAGAAAGATCTCAAATTGACACTCTAACATCACAACTAAAAGAACTAGAGAAGCAAGAGGAAACAAATCCAAAAGCTAGCAGAAGACAAGAAATAACTAAGATCAGAATGGAACTGAAGGAGATAGAGACATGAAAAATCCTTCAAAAAAATCCATGAATCCAGGAGCCAGTTTTTTGAAAAAATTAATAAAATAGATAGACCACTAGCTAGACTAATAAAGAAGAAAATAGAGAAGAATCAGATAGGCACACTGAAAAACAATAAAGGGCATATCACCACTGACCCCAAATAAATAGAAACTACCATCAGAGAATACTACAAATATTTCTGTGCAAATAAACTAGAAAATCTAGAAAAATTTCCTAAATTCCTAGACACATACACCTTCCCAAGACTAAACCAGGAAGAAGTCAAATCTTTGAATAGACCCATAACAAGTTTTAAAATTGAGGCAGTAGTAAATAACCCCCCCCCCACACACACACAAAAAAGCCCTGGACTAGATGAATTCACAGCTGAATTCTACCAGAAGTACAAAGAGGAGCTATACTATTCTTTCTGAAACTATTCCAAATAATTGAAAAGGAGAGACTTCTCCCTAACTCATTTTATGAGGCAAGCATCATCCTGATACCAAAACCTGGCCGACACACAATAAAATAAGAAAACTCGAGGCCAATATCTCTGATTAATATTGATGCAAAAATCCCCAATAAAATACTGGCAAACTGAATTCAACAGCACATCACAAAGCTTATCCGCTATGGTCAAGTTGTCTTCATCCCTGGGATGCAAGGCTGGTACAACATATGCAAATCAACAAACATAATTCATCACATAAATAGAACCAATGACAAAAACCCCATGATTATCTCAATAGATGCAGACAAGGTCTTTGATAAAATTCAACATCCCTTCACGTTAAAAACTCTCAATAAACTATGTATTGATGAAATATATCTCAAAATAATAAGAACTATTTATGACAAACCCACAGCAATATCACACTGAATGGGCAAAAGCTGGAAGCATTTCCTTTGGAAACTGGCACAAGACAATCATGCCTTCTCTCACCACTCCTGTTCAACATAGTACTGGAAGTTCTGGCCAGGGCAATCAGTTAAGAGAAAGAAATACAGGTATTGATCGACTTACTACCTATGCAACTTATGACCATTCGACTTTACGACCGCAATCGCTAGCCACGACTGCTCCACGTCTGGCAGCGCAAACGTTGCCCAGCTGGGCATACGACAGTGCAGACCAGCTTCCGGCAGCACTACCATCTCTGTGTGTACCATTTCAACTGTACATATAGCCTACTCAACTTATGACCAAATTGTGTTACGACTGGTCCGCAGTCCTGACCGTGGTCGTAAGTCGAGCACTAGCTGTAAAGGGTTTTCAAATATGAAGAAATCAAGTTGTCTCTGTTTGCAGACAACATGATCCTATATGCAGAAGACCCCATCATCTCAACCCAAAAGATCCTTAAGCTGATAAGCAACTTCAGCAAAGTTTCAAGATAGAAAATCAATGTGTAAAAAATATTACAAGCATTCCTATACACCAACAATAGACAAGCAGAGAGCCAAATCATTAATGAACTTCCATTCACAATTGCTACAAAGATAATACAATATGTAGGAATACAGCTAACAAGGGATGTGAAAAACCTCTTCAAGGAGAAGCATTTTTCTATTCTTTTAACAGACTACCCTAAAAATTAAAAACTCTTGCTTGCATTATGAAAATTATTTATTGATACTTATGCTCTCCTCTTAGACAGTACAAGAACTTTCTGTTTACATACCTCCATCTTTTTTTTATTATTAAGCAACACATAATAATTGTACATATTTATGGGATACAGAGTGAGATTTTTATACATATAAACAATGAGTATTGATTGAATCCAAGTAATTGGCATATCCATCACCTCAAACATTCATTATTTCTTTGTGTAGGAAACATTCAATAACTTATCTATTTGAAATTCAGCTATTTGAAAACATACAATAAATTATTAACTATAGTCACCCTATAGTACTATAGAACACTAGAACTTATTTCTCCTATCTAGCTGTAATTTTGTATTTGTTAACTAATGTTTTCCTATCCTCACCTCTTCCCTATTCTTCCCAGCTTCTATAACCACAATTCTATTCTCTACTTCTATGAATTCAACATTTTTAGCTCACACATGAGTGATAACATGCAGTATTTATCTTTCTGTGCCTGCCTGACTTATTTTACTTAACACAATGTCTTCCAGGTTCATCTATATTGCATCAA